AAAGATACAGTCCATGGGCGTAGTCTGGGTTATGCCCAGTGTCTGGTGTAAAGGGTGTAATACCACCCCTTTCTTTCCTACTCAGGAGAGTGCTTTGGAATGCCAGCAAGTGAGAAAGATGTTATTGCCAGGGTCCCCTTGAACTTTCCTTGATTTATAAAGAAGCCACATTATTTGCAAACGTCAGGGCTTTAGCTTTCACTAGGAAAAGCTAATCTCACAATATCTGTGTATTGCTAAGTAATGGCCAAGTGAGCATTCTGCCACAAATGCTACAACAAGAAAATCAGCATTTGTGGGCCAACAAAGATTGAATTGACTCACTCTGTGGCAGCCACTCTTCTAAATACTTACACACATTAGCTTATATGTCCCTCCCCCAGCTATCTGTTTATAGGCACTGTTTATAGACGAGAAAACTGAGGCCCAGAGAGGTTGTATAACTCAGGGTCACACAGCCAAGAAGCAATAGATTTGAGATTTGAACCTGGACTCTAGTACTATAGAAATCAGGAGGGGCCCCAGAGCTGGCAGGCAGTCCGCATCACCCAGGGAAGGCTGCTTCACTCCAGTTGGGCACTGGTTTCTTATCCCAGTGTGTTGGGGTGTGGAAGTGACTGCTCCACTCCAAGCATGGTTGGGTGAGTGGCCTGGCCGACTCCCTGTCCGTGCACCTGGGAGGTGCCTCACGCGGCCACCCGCTGTTTCTGCCCACTTCAGCAGAGTTCTCCCGCCCAGCCTCGGTCAGTGAGAATCATGACGCAGGTCCTGATGGTGACAAGCGGGAGGAAGATGGCGAATCTGGGGGACAGCGGTCAGAGGCTGAGGAGGGAGAGGTCAGGACCCCCACCAAGATCAAGGAGCTGAAGGTAGGAGTCTGGCTTTCTCATATCCCCTGATCTGGGGATCAGGAGGCTGATCCTTCTTTAGCCTTGGTCTTGGCCTTCAGGTGCCCCCAGCTGTGGCTGAGCACCCTTCCTGTGGGGTACACCAAGCTCAGAGCCGTGCCCTGGGCCATGCTCAATACCTGCACATGCCCAGGTGTGGGGGGCATGCTGTTCGTCATACACGCTCCCCTCCTTTTGCCCTGCTTTCCCAGAGGGCATTCTGTACCCTAGGGGACTCGGCCTCCTCTTGCCCACTCTGAATCTGCCCCTTCGACTACAGTGTGAATCTGCACAGCCCTCTCTTCCCCCAGAGCATGATGGGGTGTTTCTGCAGGCCCTCACAGTGTGTCCCCCTCCTTTGCCCACCCCCATTTCCCACATACCTGTGCCCACACTCATGCAGGCACACTGGGCCTCAGATTCGCATGATTTCGCTCACAGATACACATCCTCACCCACAGGGTTATGTACCCAGATTTTTAAACGGCATGCCCACGGGCATGTGCACACACGGGTATAGTATGTTTCCGTCATGCTTCCCCACTTGGGAGCACAGGTCCCTGAACACACATGCTGACTGCAAGGGGCAGGAATACCTAGAGCCCTCACTTCTGTCTGCTGAGTGTAACTGCTCTCTTTGCCTCCAGCCCTCCCGCCCCCTTCCTCACCTCCCTGGGCAAGCATCCTGCTTTCACGCCCCCCCTTCTGACTACTCACTGCCCCGTGATGGCCCACCCAGCTACCCTGGCCTCTGTTGCTTGGGTGAGAGTGCCCTGGGCCACCTGCTAGACTGGGCCGGTCGCGGTGTCTCTAATCCATTGGCTCTACTGACCCTGCTGGTTGCTTTTCCTTCTCCCACGTCCGCTAGCCGGAGCAGGAAACCACGCCGAGACACAAGCAGGAGGTACTGCATGACCTGGCCCTACCTACCCAGCTCATTTGTCACCACCCCACGGTCCATCCCAGGCTGATACCCTGGTGCCATCTTAGTGTTAGCTTCACCTCTGCTCCCTGGCCACCCTCCTCCCCCTGCCGAGCCCCCACCCAGCCATCCTCAGCTCCCTCCAGCATCCTGCTCAGACTCTGTCCCCCAGCAGTATTTCCCTTCCCTCCTCCCCCTCCTTTCTACTCCGCCTCGCACTGTGCCTCCCCAGACCACCCACGCTGGCTCCCGTCTCATTGAGCTCATCTCTTCTGCCTCCCCCCCAAACCCTTTTTTTGACTCATCTCCTCCCCACACCAGTTTGCTTCTACCTCCACTTCATCTGTGTCCCCTGTGCCCGCACCCCAAGCTTCTTTTTGTATCTATGGGCAACCAGATGTGGGTGGGAAGGGTGGGAGGGAGGAGCCTCGGAGCACATCTGCATCTTCTCCGACTCCGGTGCCCCTCCCTCTGGGCAGGGCCTGCTGCTCTCTCAGGAGAGCCTCCTCTCCTTTCCTCCTCTCTCTGTTCTCCCTCATCTTACTCCTCCTGTGTTAACCACTTCTCTAACTGTCACTGCAAGAGAAGTGCATTTATTCTTGAGCCCAGGGGGAAGGGCTAGAGGCTGGGGTGTAAGAAGGACCTGGCCTTGGAGTTCCGTGGTCTGGTTTTAGCCCCAGGTCTGCCACTGAGGCATTGAAGGCCTTAGGGATGTCCCCTCAGGCCCCAGCTCCCCATCTGCACAGTAAGGCATTTGGACTAGGTTTCCCCAAGGTCCTTCGAGGATCTCGGGGTTCCACTGCTCCCTGTAGCCTTCAGGAATACTATGTGCCCAGAGCTAGAGCAGCAGGTGCAGGATAGAAGGTCACAAGACACATCCACAAGACCAGATGCAGATGGGAGAGATGGGAGAGATGGAAGGGATTGGAGGGATGGAAGGGAGGAGCCATTGCAGGCCCAGCCCATCCCCCAGGCAAACTCTATCAGGTTTGATTTCTCAGACAGACATGATCCTGAGGCAGCTCAGCTCAGGAGAGGAGGTATAGACAGATGTTTGGAGGCAGAGCAGAAGCCTCAGTATGATCGGTTTCCTTTCTGAGGTCACCTCAGAGTCAATCATAGTGGATTCTCAGATGCCGGAGAGAATCCCAGGGGAAGAGGCTAGCTTGTCCAAGGACAAGCCTACCTTCCAAGTAGTTCTAGAATCACCAGATCTGACTTTATAATTAGCTGAGATTGTCCATTTCTTGCCCTGAATTGAGTTGACATGAACCTTCAAACAGCCTTGCACATAAGGGTCCTTTGGCTACCCACCTACCACCCTGCCCCTAGAGTAGGCAAACAAGCAGCTCTGGCAAGACACGGCCACCCCCTCTGCAAAGGCTGCACCTCACGTGACCTGGGGGCAGAGTCCTCTGTCATGATGCACTGGCCAGAGCTCAAACTTGACAGTTCAGTGTGGGACACACTTATGACTCTGGCTGTACCTGGCTCACTTCTTGTGTCCATCCTTGGACTTATCTGTCTTCTTCCTGGTCTCTAATTCTCCTGATCCCCCTGAACACCCCTGTCTGGCTATATCTCACCCTCTCTGCCAATGAATCGGTACCCACAGGTGTCTGGGAGATCCTGGGTGGTTGGGAAAGGTAGAGGCTATCAACAGAAAATAGTAAACAAAATCTTCTGGTCCCTAGGCCTGGTCCTTGGTGTGGGAGCACAGCCCATTTTACTGGATTCCCTGGCTTTAGAAAGGCTCCACAGGGCCTGATTAACTGCATATATTGGGCCAGGAGAAGCCTAGGCTTGGGATCCTGCTAAGCACAGTGGTCCAAGTCTTGGTCAGAGGTGGGGACCAGGATCTGGGAGGCCAAGGGTGGGGGGTGGTGCCAGAGCCACCCAGTGAACAGAGTTGGCGAGTTCTCACTATACTTGGTTGTGACTAAGACAGGGCTCAGCACCAAAGGGAACTCACCAGACCTGTAGGATTTGGATGAGTTTGGGCTCCAAGGCCAGGAACCAGGCAGGAGAGAGAAAAAGGTGATGCTTGACCAGAAGTCTCTTCTTTTTAATCTTAAGTGCTTTGTGCACCCGTTGGGGCTAACATCCCTGCCCTGCCTGGCTTATGAGGTGCTGTGGGAGTGACACAGGTCATAGATGGGAATCACCTTGCTGATACAGGGCAGTGATGGTGAATGTTGCCATCTTCGCCACACCCTGTATCCCATCTCAGAGCTGATCCTCTAATGCATGACTGTCCTCTCCACCCACCCCAGTTCTTAGACAAGCCAGAGGATGTCTTGCTGAAGCACCAGGCCAGCATCAACGAGCTCAAGAGGACCCTGAAGGAACCCAACAGCAAACTCATCCACCGGGATCGAGACTGGGAGCGGGAGCGCAGGCTGCCCTCCTCGCCTGCCTCCCCCTCCCCCAAGGGCACCCCTGAGAAAGCCAGTGAGGTAGGTCTCACCCTGAACCCCTCAGTGGGTACCTTGGGTAAAGAGGGTGGGGAAGGTTGCTATGTTCTGGCTTACTGTCACCCTCCAAACCTGTATGCTCCTCCCCATTGCTGTGTATGGTGATGGGGATAGGGTGGTGGGTTAGGCTGAGGAAGATGAAGTCACTCAATCCTGGAATCTGGGACCCCAGCAGCCATAGTATAATGAGGAAGGGGTGCTTGCTAGAAACTCAGGTTCTGGGGTCCCACATTGGACCCCCTGAATGAGAATATTGGGGGTAGAGCCCTGGAGTCAGCATTTGAAACAAGCGCCCTAGGCTATTCTCATGTACACTATGCTTTAAGAATCATGGTAGTTCTGTCCAGTAACCAGACCCTTTCAGGCCTATTGTGAAGTCACAGACTGGGGAGCATTCCCTCCAAGAAGGGTCCTCAGAGCCCACTAGAAGTAACAGGTCCTCCAGGAAAACCAGAGCTGCTCCTATTGCTTCAGAAAAGGCTCCCACACGACCTGCCTTTCAGAGTGGAAAGCAATTGAAAAAGAGAAAGACAGGATCTTGAGGATTCCTGTACTGATAACCCCAGCCTGTGGCTGTTAGCACTGCTGCATCTCGGCAGTGTTTATCCCGTCTGTACTTAGGTGTTTTCTCCCTAGTGCTGCTGCTTCCTGATCTCAAACCCAACTGGGGTCTAGACTTATACTGCCTGGGTTTGAACTCAGGCTCTGCTGCCTGCTAGCTGGCTGGATGACCCTGGGCTTGTGGCTTAATCTCTCTGAGCCTCCATTAGTTAGAGGTAATAAAGCATCTACTTCTTAGGAATGTTGTAAGGATCAAGTGAGATAAAACATGGAGGGGCCAGCAGAGACCCAGGTGCTCAATACGAGTTATTGTTTCATTTTGAGAGTCCTGGGACTCACACAGAAGGTTAGCTTTGAGTCAGAATCCCTTTTAAAGTTGGAAAGGTCCTCAGAACCCACTTGGTACAAGGTCATCATTTCACAGATGGGGCCCTGAGGCCCAGAGGCGAAGGACTTTTTCAGTGGTATAGTTGATAGGAGTCAAAACCTGATTTTCTTGTGTTCCAGGCATTGTCTTTGCTATTAAATCACAGCTGCCTAGAAGCAAGACCAAATCATGTGAAGATCAGGCATAGAGTCAGTTGCATGAGTGCTGCCCTCTAATGCCCTGACAGTTGGTTGATGCAGCAGTGATCTAACAGGCAGAGCCCTTGATTGACTCAGTATGCCCCATGGCCTTGATGTGCCAGACAACAGGAGGCCTTGTCCAGTGAGGCTGCTGTGGTAGCTCCTCTGCTAGGGATGATTTGGGGCCTTTAAGGCTGGTGCCATGGGAGGAGGGCAAATCTCTGCATCCACTGAGGGCTTCTGTGGTCACCTCGGACACAGACAAGATCCCGATGACACTGAACTGGGCCATGGTGGCTGGTCTAGTAATCCAGTTACATGCCCCATTCCTGCCCTGAATCAGTTGACTAGAGGGCCTCTCTTCAGTCCTGAAGTGGGTGAGGTGGGATGCAGGGGCTTCTGACAGCATCAGACTGCAGCAGAGAAAGGCAGGATGAGCCCTGGGGAGCTGGACTCTGCAGCTTTGGGGTGGCCTGAGAGCAGCCTGACTTGGGGGGATGCCCCCCCTGCTGGTGACAGCTGGAACTGCTAGAATTGGGCCTTTAAAAGGTGGAGTCTGATCCACCTTCTGTCTTCCCACTGCTGGAAAGAAGTCTGGTCCAGAAGCTCACCCTGGAGTATTTAGAGGCCCTTGAAGATTTGGGGGATGGGGAGGAGCCTTAACCTGGGGCTGGTCTGACTCCTTGGATGAATGACTGCACTTCTCTGAGCCTCACTGCCTTGTCAGTCCATCTAAAGGGAACCAAAATTGCCATTCTATAGGGTTGGGTTATTGGGAAGGTTGAACAAAATAATGCATATAAAACATACTTTATAAACTGGAAAATGTGGACAGTCATGGGGCCATTGCTGCTGATCAGAATTCCTGACCCAAACATGAGCCTTGCGGGTGTGTCCTGCAGGTATTCCATCCAGAGTTCCCACTAGCTTCTTCATATGTTGTTGGGCCTCATCTGGGCCAGGGGAAAATGGTAGGAACTTAAACCAAAATAGGGACCCCAAACTATAAAGAAGAGTTCCCATTTGCCAAGCCCCAGTTTTCATGTCAAAGGTAACTTTTAAAAGCGGCTAAGACCCAGACTACAGGCTTCAACCATCGTCTAAACCAAAGGCACCCAGAGAAGACTTGGAACCGAGTTCTAGTAATATGGTTCCAAAACCTCTTGAGTAAGAATGGGCAGGCGATGAGGAAAGGCCCAAAGCCACGTGCTGGCTGGCAGGGACCTTGGTCCTCCCTTCCTGGAATGGCTTGGAGGGGCAGTCTCTCCCCCTCCCCCCCAGCACGGCTCCTTCCCCACCTAATCTATGAGCCCTAAGGATGTGGGATTTACAAAGCAGGTCATTTACGGACTCTGTGTGTCTCTCCTGCTTTCTCCCCCTCCCTCTCTCCTTCCCTTCCTCCCTCTTTCCCTTTCCTCTGGCCCTGGGCCTCCCCTGCAGTCCCAGAGGACCCAGGACATCTCTCAGCAGGACTTGGCACCTGAGCCTGGGACGGCCACAGGCTTGGAAGTGTTCACTCAGAAAAGCCTCGCAGCGTCTCCTGAGGTTACTGTCTTCACCTCCCTGCCCACCCAGAACCACCCTAATGGTCTTAAGAAAACCCTTTTTCCGGGGAGAAGGGGCTGGACCAGACTCTGCCATGCATACGAGCAGTGGGTAGCCTATATTGTTTCCATGCTGTGACAAATGAGCATCCCTGTTCCAGGGATCCATAAAGGACAGGCCCCTCCCTCATCCATTGTTTCCCAGGAATCAAAGGGAGTTAGAAATGAGCTCCCCTCAGACCCTGCAGAGGCAGGTGACTCTAGAGGTAGGCTCTGTGTTTTAAGCTTGCAATGGGGGTCCTGGCACCTAAATGCCATCTGCCCTAGGGTCTTGCTACTGTTTAGAAGCCTGAGTAGGCCTAGCTGTGGCTAGTTAGGGGATGGCATCCCCTTCATACCCCACTTCTGTCTTCTCCAAATTCCCCCTGGGGCTTGAGTCAGTCAGGGTCTCCAGACAGACGAAGTGGGCATCTTGCTCCAAGGAGTATCCTTGGGGTTGTAGAGATGTTGGTCACGCAGGCTTTCTAAATGAGGAAGGCATTGCTCCTGCGCCCAGGAGAGCAGCAGGTCGAGGGCTCTTGGGACTTGCTGTGCCCCTGCACGGATGCCAGGTGGAATCTAGGCCCAGGGAGCAGCGGCTGCATCTTCCCTCTCTGTCAGCACCCCATGGACTGTCAGGATGGGGAGGTACTGGCCGACCATCTGGGCGAAATGCCCTTCTCCCTGATATATGACCCTCCTCTGCGGCACCGTGTGAGTGAGGGCATATTCCTTTCCCAGTTCACAGAGAAAAGTTTTGTAGCAGCTGAAAACATGCTGAAACTGTAAAAGAGACACGAGTCAGCTACGTATGTGGTAAAACAAATCGCAGTTATTTTTCCTCATTTGTAAAAATAAAAACAAAACTCTCAGCACTCTGTAGAGAGAAGTTGGACAGGCATCAACAGCATCCCAAGGTTAGGGAAACAGTGATGCCCTGGAGCACAGACCTGCTCCCAGAGCCAAGGACAGGTGCCTATCCTTGGGGGGCAGGGCAATGTGCGTCTTTCATCAGTCCCTTCAAGAGGGGTGCTCTGCCTGTTCCTAACGGTCGCTCATTTTGCCTTCGATCATCCACTATGACATATCCATATTGAATTATGTGCCCTTCTGAATCTCCTTCTGTGGGCCTCGCTTTGTTCCCAGCACCCTTAGCCCTGCTCTGCACCCTCCTCCAGGAGGGCCCTTCAGAGCTGAGCACCAGCCAACCCCTTCTTCATTTTCTCCCAGGGCATAGCTTCTAGAGGGCTCCTCATCCTAGACCCCCTCCTCTGGTCCCAAAATGTGACCCAGAGCTGCGGGTGGGGCCTGAACTGCCCAGAGTCCCCGGAACTGCCTCGTTGTAGATTTTCTCCTAGCGGCTTGTGTGGGAACAGAATTGGCCGCGCTTGGCTCCCAGCTGCTGCGCCCGGGCTGTCCTGCTGCAGCGCCTCCATCTGACAGCAGGGGGAGCTCTGAGCAGGCACCGAGGGCCCGGCGCAGGGGAAGGCAGGCTGTGGGCTCCCCTGACATCTTCCCATCCTAACATCTGGTCAGAACAACTTTCAGACCAATCCCCAGGGCCAGTTGTGGCTCTGCCAGTGTTTTGGTGCCACTGAAGGGTTTCTCTTTTTTTGTTCAGTCTTTCTTTTCTCTTTAGGTTCCTATATATCTACTTGCACTTGTTAGAAGCAGAGCCTCTTCCCTCAGTCCTCACTCTGTCATCTGGGCTTGTCACCTCCCTCTGGGAGCCTCGGTTTCCTCTTCTGAAATAAGGATAACAGCACCTGCTTCACAGGTTGCCATATGGATTAAATTTAATAACTTAGACCAGCGATTTTCGACCAGTATGCCACAGCACGCTGGTGTGCAGCAAGAATGTTTAAAACATGCAGTACCTGACTATTTAGTCAAGGGCACTGCCCTCTTTCCCCTCAGATTGTCAAATAAAAAAAATGACAACGGCCAACACAACCATAGCCGTCTAGTGTGAGTGAATCAAAATTATACCTATTTCTTTTGTCGGATTGGCAAAAAAATATAATGTATTTTTTGGTGTGCCACCGAATCTTAGTGTGTCATGAGATGAAAAAGGTTGAAAATCGCTGCCTTAGACAAAGAACTGACTGCCCGGCCGGCGTGGCTCAGTGGTTGAGTGTCAGCCTATGAACCAGGAGGTCATGGTTCGATTCACCGTGGGGCCTGGTTTCCGGCTCGATCCCCAGTAGGGGGCAAGCAGGAGGCAGCCAATCAATGACTCTCATCATTGATGTTTCTATCTCTCTCTCCCTCTCCCTCTCTCTTCCTCTCTCTGAAATCAATTAAAAAATATATATATTTTTTAAAAAGGCTATTGTCTGGCACAAAGTAACTAAATATAAGTATGTTTTTCTTCCTATACAATCTTTCTGTTCTGTGCCAGCTCCCACGCAACTCTTCCTGGTAAGCCTCTAGTTTCTAGAAACTAGTTTCTAGTTAGATTTTGGGCAGGAATGTTCCAGAAGGGAATTCGTGTGCCGTCTTTGGCCATCCTTGCCAGGCCAATGATGTCTATACAAGCTGAAATGGGAGCAACTAAAGGCACCTGCTTCCCAAGTAGAAGAAAAGAGAGAACTGGTGTCTGCAGGCTCTTGAAGCTCTTCTCTCTGGGAGGGTCTGAGTGCTATGGTCCTGAGCTTAACCACCCCAAGTAAAATCTCAGAACCTAGGCCTGGCTTTGTCTACCCCTCCCCCCCTTCCTCTTATCTCTCTTTTCTATTGGTAAGAGTCTCTTAATGTGGTACCAAAATTGGTAGCAAAATTCCCATGGGGATTTTGCTGCACTGGAGTTGGGGAGTAGAGGTAAAAGGGTTTACAGTGTTCCCTTGATCCTTCAGAATCCGTTAGATCTGATGGGATCTGACAGACTCCTCACCAAGTCATAGCCTGAATCGGAGCCCAAGGTCAGATAACTGTCCCCCAGCCTGCTGTCGGGGCACATCTTACCGTGGATGCACCTATCAGGACTTGGACTCGGAGACTGGGTCTAGGCCTGCCTTTGCCAATGGCTCCTCTCTGACCTTGGGCATGGTGCTTACTTTCTCTAGGCCTCAGTTTCCACATCTTTACGTAGTGACTTGACTCAGAGCAGTGATTTCAAAGGAGGAATGTACCTCAGGGCTCTAGGGCAGCCCAGTTCCCCAACTTCAACTGCATTTGTGCTGCATATTAGACTTGCATTAAAATTATGTGTGAAAAAGGCTTTCTGTGGCTGTAGGATTAAATCCCAATGACCTTCTTGTGTTTGGAATGATTCTAAAAGCCCATCGTTCCCTCCCAAGTGTTGTTTAAAGGACTCTAGGGGAGGTGGAGTCTGTCCTGTCACTGGTTTGACAGCACTGCCCTCTTGTTGGTGCCTTTGACCCACGACGATGCCTGGACCTTTAGATTGTTTCCTCCTATGATGTGTTGTGGCCAGTTTCTGTTCTTTCTGTGGATTTTGTTAGAATTCTCCAAGTATAGGCCATGGTTCATGTTTCTTTGGGAATGAACCCCACGAAGCCCAAGCTGTTCGAGTCGTTGTGGTGAGTGGCACTAACTCGAGAGCTGGCCATTTGGTATTTTTCATTCTAATCTCGTTCCTTCCCAGAAGCTCTTGCAGGAAGGTCAGATTTCAGGTGTGGCGTATGGACCTTAACTCAGTGCTTCCCGTCACCTTGATATTAGATCACAGTGGGACCCACATCCCATAGGCTGTGAGATAAGTTAGCCAGGATCTCAGTCATCAAACATCAGACACTCTTCTCCTGACTCTACTGTCAACTAACGGTGACCTTGGGCGAGTGGCTGGCCTCCTCTAGGCCTAAGTGTACGCATTTGCACAGTGAGGAGATTGGACTGAAGGTGCCTTAGGAGTTCTTTTGGCTCTAACATTCAGAGTCCGTCCATCACTGGCCGCTCTCCCCCCGACAGCGGCAGCGATACTGTGAAAGGAGAAAGGAAGAGCCTGGCCCGCTCCGGTCTCCATCTCCCCGTGACTAGCACAGGAGGGCGGGAGGCCCCATCCATGTGCCTGGGTTGGGTGGCGGTTGAGGGGAGCTGGTGAAACATTTGCTGGGTGCTGTGGTGGAAGAGGAGCTTTGACAAGGCTGACTAGTATTGTCACGCTTTCCTCTCCCCAGCCAGTTCTGGGGACAGACGTGGTGACCTTTTGGTGGTAGAATGGTCCCTTCTTGTGGAGGGAAAAGGTGACCTGGTCTGCAGGTGCCTGATATTTCATGTTAACTCTTCTTGCTCCAATTGAAATACAGGGTTCAGAGCATTGGGTATTTATAGAAAGGAAGTACACTAGGCCAGAAGAGCTCAGTCTTCCAACAGTGGCCGCCATGCCGCAGGAAGAAAGGGAGGCAGGCTTCGCAGATATCCTTGCTGACGGCAGACTCTCCAAGGTGGACGTCCTGGTAGACAAGTTCAAAGTGGAAGTGGCCACAGAGGAAATGGTGGGAGCCAGAGGAGCGAACACCCAGCAAAAAGGAAGAATGATCGCAAGCCCTGAAGACTTCGAGTCGGTGTGGGAGGAAGGCCCCCGAGTCGGGGACACCCCAGGAGGGGATTCTCTGGCTGCAGGCCGCACGTGGGCAGAAGAGCTCCTTGAGGGCTCCCAGCTCAGGGTGGGCACCGGGGAGGCCACCATCAGGAAGCGCCGAGTCTCAGGTCAACTAGAGGGCCAGGTGGAGCTAAGGAAGGAGCTGGAGGAGTTCCCATCTTGTGGAAGGCCCATTGCCCTGGGGACCAGGCCAGCAGAGGCAGAGGTCCTCTCACCAGCCTCCGACAAGGGAGGACTTCAGTCGTTTCTTCTAGACTCAACCCAAGAGGAAGACAGAGCTGACTCGAGTGATGAAACCGACACTTCCTTTGCAGAGAGGAGCTTCTACTTCAACTATGGAGAGAAAGATTTTGAAGACCAGACCCTCCCTCCTCTACTGGAGGAGAGAGAAGAGCACCTGGAAGGCCCCCCTGGGGGGACCAGGCTGGAGCTCTTGGGGGAGCTTGCAGAGAGCTCTGAGCTGAGTCCCTCAGACCCGTGGGGCTCTCCGGCAGCTTCCAGAAGCGACCAGGATGGAGGGGGTGAAGCCTGCACCGCTTCCTGGGAGGAAGCGGTTGGGCCTCCCAGGGGCCGCCTGGAGACCTCTGATGAGTGGCTCCGGAACGGATCTTGTCCAGGGGACTGGGGAGAAGCTGGGTGGGGGGTGAAAGGAGAGTTCACCCACCCAGCATCCGTCACCGCGGAGGAAGAGGCCCCTAGGAGTCGAGATTTGATGGGAAAGGCTGAGAAAAGTCCCCCAGCAGGAGGGAAGGACCGGTCACCTCGCGGAGGACAGGGTGTACGCCCAGGCCTTCCAGCCTGCACGCCTCCATGGAGGCCAGCCAAACCAGACAGAGGCTACTTCTTGCCCAAAGACACGGGACTGGTTCACACTCAAACAGGACAACATATGGTGGAGCACAGCAGGGTTCACATGGAGTTTCTTCAGATGGAGGTGATCAGCCCCCTCCCCACGTCCCCTGGTCTCTTTCAGCATCAGGTACCTCCTGAGGACACTTCGCCAAGCCCAGCCCCTCATGGGTCAGGGGGGCCTTTGCAGGTTGGGGATCCCTTTGGGGAACGGCCCCCTGTATTTCTCAAAGAGAGCCCGGAGCCCAGGGACCGAGTAGAGCCTGTTGTGACTCTGGACAGAGGTGAGCGCAAGGCACCTCCTGTTGCCAGCAGAAAGCGCAGAGTTGTCCTTGAAGAAGTTGAGGGGGCTGCAGCCCTGAGGTTGGGGTTCCCTTCAGGGAAGCCAAAGATGACTCCTTTCCAGGCTGGGGGCCAGGAGGGCTCCCTGGAAGATGTCAGCAAGACCTCAGTGGCCAACAAAATCTGGATCTTTGAGACCCATGGAGCCGAAAGTCGGCGAGTGAGTCAGGGTGAAACATGGGCCCTTCCAAATGAGTTGTCTTCAGAGGCCTCCCCAGGGCAGGCAGAGCAGCAGCGGAATAAGCTTTCAGACCTGGGCTTCGTCCAGCTCCAGCCCCCAGGGGATGCCGCCGGGCCCAGTGCCACACAGTCCTCAGCAGTGTCACCCACTGCCAGACACTTCAGGGAGGGCCTTTCTACCACATCCCACCAGGAAGGATGCATGGAACTCGAGCTCATGTCTCCCGATTCAGGCTGCGAAACCACGCTGGAGGAAGCTACTGGGGGAGCTGGCCACGTGAGCCCCCACCCCCACCACTGCCCCAGCTGGGGGGCGCTGACCGCATGCCATGTAGCTTTTTAGAAGCATGTTTAGTGGCCCCTCGTCATTAGTCATTAGTGCAATCAGGCTGCTTGTCCATCCCTGTGAGTTCTTTCCCCTAAATGAGCTTGAGCATAGCCCAAGCAGAATGCAGGGTTCGCCTGCTTGGCCCACGGAGCTTGGCCACAAACCCCGCAGCTTTGGGTGTGATCTGGTGCCCAGAGGGCCACACAGACCAGTGGAGAAGGTGGCTCTGCCTCCAGCAAGCTACACATTTGCTTTGCCTTGCTGCCTTCACCTGCTGGGTTCCTTCCTATTTGCTTGGCTTGTCCAGCGACCTTCCTTCTTCCTTCCCCTTCCCTGGTTCTCCTGCCGTGGGGAAGCTGACAGTCCAGAGGTTTCCATCCTTCACTTATGGTTCCCTCCTGGTCCGAGTGCCAAGTGCCTTTCTGCCTCCTTGAGACTAACTGTCTTCTCTAATCCAGAACAAATCCGGAGATGCGGTCAGGGAAGAGACGCGTGTCACCAGTTTAGCAGCAAACCCCCCTGGGAGAGGGGGGCGCCTGAGATTCGCCAGCCCCTCAGGCCCTCAGGTCTCTGCAGCCCCTCAGTGCCCTGGTGACCTGGCCATCTTAGCCTGGCCAGGGTGCATTGCTGCCCTAGACCCCCACCTGCTCTGGCAGTGCTCGTGGCAGCTCAACTCTGGCTTGTCTGAATGTGTCCTCACACCTCTCAACCTTCCAGAAACTACCTAAATGGATGCTTGTTAAGCAAGGGAATCTCTAAGTGCACTGAATCTCTAGAACCCGAAGCCCTGTACTTTAAAAATATTTGGTGGGTGTTAGATTGGTCTTAAGAAGGAGTGTCATGAACCAGCCCCCAATGTGTGTATGGTGTTTAATCCCTGACAGGCCAGGTGAGAGGTATATGTGTCAGACAAGAGTTGCTGGTTCCCTCCTGGCACTCCCTTGGCCTGCTCTTGTCAATTACACTGATGGGACCAGAACCTCCACTTCACGGCCTGCCCACCAGCCCACTTGTGGAGCTCAGGGTTGAATTGATGTGGCACCCAGCTCCCAGGAATTACCCCATATTGGTCCTCTCTCTGGATGATGCTGACCTCTCCCGTGGAGTCCCAGTGGAATTGACAAACCATGCTGGCTTCCTCTTTGTTCCTGAAAGCTCTGGGCTCCAGCCTCTCTGCGCCCTCCCCTCCCCCCGCCTGGGTTTCCTGATCCCTGGGTCTCCCTCCTTGGTTTCTGTTTCTCGACGCCAGCCTGCACGGATGGGCCCGGGACCCCGGCCCCTATCCCTGCCTTGTGCACAGCGCCGCTTCTGATAAGCTCCCAGATCCAAATATTGGGTGGAGCCTCCTACCCAGGAACCAGCTGGCAGGACATTTGCTTTGTACCTGCTTTGCCAGCATCAGGAGGCCCCCGGGAAGCAGCCCCCCCACCCTTGAGAAGTTTTTGGTTCTTTTAAGCTTGTTATGACATTGAGGAACCTTTCCCGGGGTGTTTTTTGTTTCCTGACCTGCTCTTCCATCTGGCACTTCGACGTGGCCCCAAGATTTCTTCTGTCATTCACCATCTTGATTTCTCTCTCTCCCCCTCCCTCTCACCCCACACTCCCTCTCCTTTGCTTTCATCTGGCCATAGCGAGCAGGGCTGAGGGAGGGCTCGGAGGAGAAAGTGAAGCCGCCGCGCCCCAGGGCCCCAGAGAGCGACACGGGGGACGAAGACCAGGACCAGGAGAGGGACGCGGTGCTCCTGAAGGACAGCCACCTGGCCATCGAGCGCAAGTGCTCCAGCATCACCGTCAGCTCCACGTCCAGCCTAGAGGCGGAGGTCGACTTCACGGTCATCGGTGACTACCACGGCAGCGCCTTCGAGGACTTCTCCCGCAGCCTTCCTGAGCTCGACCGAGACAAAAGCGACTCAGAAACGGAGGGCCTGGTGTTCTCCCGGGACCTCAGCAAGAGGGGCCCCAGCCAGGACGACGAGTCCGGGGGCATCGAGGACAGCCCGGATCGAGGGGCCTGCTCCACCCCGGACATGCCCCAGTTTGAGGTACAGTGGAGCACCGTCGAGGCTGGGCCCAGCAGGCACTGCATGTCCGAGGGCCCGGGCCGTCGTGAGAAGATGGGGCTTGCCAGCCCGCAGCCCAGAGTCCCTCAGCCTGGAGCTGCGTCTCGTGTTGCATGACTCCCTCCGCAGAGCAGCATGGTTCTGTGCTCGCATGTTTGCCGTCTCGTTCACCCCTAACACACAGTCCTTGGCGTTTAACCCTGCGACCCCATCGCTTGCCTGAGGTCGAGCAGTGACTGGCGGTCAGGGCTCCTCGACTCCTCCCCCTGCCCGTGCTGCATGGCGCTGCAGGGAGCATGTGCTTGTCAACGACTCACAGGGGCCCCTGCGGCCTGGTCTGAACGGCGGAGGGTTTTCCCTGGCCCCAGCCCGGGCTCCTCTACCTGGGGCCTGGGCTTCCTGGGGACGGGGCAGCAGTCTCAGTCCATCTGGCCCTGGGATAGCTGTGGAAACTCTGGAGAAGGGGAAACATCGTCACTGAGGGGTACATAGGGATAAACTGTGTCTGGGCCTCTCTGCTTTGTGTCCTTCCTCCAGAGGATCTTTATTCACATTATTTCCTTGCTCCCTCGTCTCTTGCAGCCCCAGCCTACCTCCCACCACACTCCCCCATCTCCCAGGCATTGAAACATGAGCTCGCCCACTTGGGATTCCACTCATGCTGTAGCCTCAGGGTAGGAGGTGTTTCTCCCTTCCTCTGCCTTGCAAATGTGTCATATTCCAGGACAGTTCAGATGTCACTTCCCTAGCAAATGCTTTGCTGACCGCCCTGGGAAGAAGTGTTGTCCCCTCCATAGTCCCTTGCTCAGTAATGCTTCTGCTCCCAGTGGTATCCCAAGTTGGTTAGTGGCTGACAGGTCTGCTCTCCTACCAGGTGGCAGCTCCTGGAAGCCCACACAAAGCAGGCACTAATAGATGATTGAATGAATGAATGGCTAGATCTCTGGATTACAACCATCTATAAGAATCCCCAAATCACCCAACCAGGTGACAAGCTAGCTTTCATTCATTCATTCATTCATTCATTCATTCATTCATTCATTCATCTCACGTACGCTGATGCCTGCTGTGTAGACAGCCGCGAATAGCCCAGTGGAGAACACAGAAGAAACTGATCATTTAACTTAACGGCTTCTAGAGTAGAGGTGGTAGACTGGTGGCTCGGGTCAGATCTGGCTAGCAGATGGATTTTCTTTGACCTTGATTTAAAAATCAGGACATTGAATATAAAATCTGGGGATTTTTTTCATATCATTAAAAAATGGTATAAATTTTTTTTATATAATTAAAAAAAAATCGGATGACCTAGTCACTCAGAAGCCATGGGCACAGTTGGCCAAACCTGAGCAGCACCCATTTGCTTTCTATTCACCCCAGGCCTCAACAAACCCACTTCACTTGTTTGTATCCCCTGCCTGGCCCCTGTGGGCCTCCAGGTGTGTGACTTCTGCTCTAAAGAACAATTCACATGAAGTAGTGGCATAACCATTGAAGTCATTCAGATTTAGTGACATGCATGTAGGGAAACTACATAGCATGGAGTCTGGCACAGAGCACATCAAGTGAATAGTAGATATTCTCTTAACGGTAGCCTAAAAATATAGCCACCATGAGGTTGAGTGGTTGCAGGGTCATGAGCAGGCCTGTCTGGTGCTGCTGGTGGCTCTGGCTCTCTCCTCTTGGGTGTTTGTCTGTGACATCACCCCATGCCGCTTGCCCTGACCCATGGACCATTCCGGAGACTCAGCCAGCTGCAGGGGTGGGAGATAACCTGCTGACCCTACACCCCAGTTGCCTGTGAGCAGGAGCCATGCCAGGGCTTGAGTTACAAGGTGTTCTTCCTCACCTCCCTACAGCCCGTGAAAACGGAAACCATGACAGTCAGCAGCCTGGCCATCAGGAAGAAAATCGAGCCAGAGGCCGTCCTGCAAACCAGAGTCACCGCTGTGGACGCCCAGGTAATCTGTGCCTTTTAGTGTACCCCGAGCACAGGCATCAGGCGTTTGGGGTGTGATCTACACCTCGAACAAGCCCCTCGGCCAGACCTTGCCACCTTGGCTCCCCCAGAGCCCCCAGTTTAAACCCGATGCTCCTGAGAGCTTTATATATTGTCCTTCCTGAGCTCAAGAGTGGGCAGTGGAATAGGTTCCTGTCCTGGGCAGACTGGACCTCGTAATGCCTCAACTTCCCCATGTGTTAAGTGGGATGATCATGTCTCCTGTCTCCCTGGTAGTGTGGTGAGGACCAGTGGCTAGTGGATTAGGATTGTGGCTTTTAGGTCGCTTGAAGGCGTTGGAGAGATTTCTCGATGTACCCCGGGGGCTGCTCGGGAAGAGAAAATGTGAGATCCCAAGCCAGCTTCAGTCAACAGTGGCTCACACTGGGTCATTTTTTTATGCACGGGGGTTCCAATCAGGTTGGCAAAATGAACAAACTGAAAAAAAGAGAACCGAAATCATTTGTCTTAGTGAGATGAAGCACACTGAGTACCCTGGAGACGGCCTTAGTGAACTGACCCAGGTGCTTCCCAGGTTCCTTCTGTGGTTTTTAAACTTTGAAAATTGAGATAATGGGTCTAGGTTCCTCCTGGCCAGAGAGCTGCTGCACTGGGGGCTTTCTTGCCCTGGGGACCAGTCTTAAAAACTAAAGTTAGCCCAGCCAGTGTGGTTCAGTGGTTGAGCATTGACCCATGAACCAGGAGGTCAGGGTTCATTCCTGGTCAGGGCACACACCCGGGTTGCAGGCTTGATCCCCAGTCGGGGGTGTGCAGGAGGCAGTGGATCACTGACTCTCGTTGTTTCTATCTCTTTACCCCTCTCCCTTCCTCTCTCTGAAATCAATAAAAACATTAAAAAAAAACACACTAAAGTTAAACGTAAACCAGCACAGCGTGGGCAACTCTGTTCTTTTCAGAATTTTCCTTGACTTTTATAACATACACAGGGTTTTATGTTGACGAGTTGTGTGACCTCAGGCAACATGCTCCCACTCTGTCCTATTTTGTTTTAGTAACGTGCTTTGTTTTCATGCAGAAAAATATAAAGAAAACGGAAAATGGCCCCAAATTCCACAACTCAGTAACTTCACTGACATCAAAACAATAGCAAAATGGTCACAGTTATGAAATTCAAATAGAATCAAATGAAATTTTTCTTGTGATTCCTTCCAGAAAAATGTATGCATATACTGACATGTATACTAATGTCTGTAGGTATTTAAAAATTTACAGAAAAGAGATTTTTCTCTTTTATATTCCTGCTCTTTAATAATCTCCTTGGGGACCACTCCTTGCTGGCATAGGAGTGGTCCCCAGGAGATTACTCTCAGCCCCGCTCAGGAGCAGGCTCTGGTTTTCCACGTGGTCTCCCACCAGTGGACCCATGCTTGTTTCTCTCTCGCAGGTAGTGGTGAGTGCTATAATGCACTTCCTTGTCTGTACTTCTAGTAAAGTTTTCAAGGTTTATATCCAAAGGGTGAACTCCTAGCAGTGGGACCACCAGGTCAAAGGATACATGCATTGAAATTTGGATAGGATTGGTCAGATTGTCTGGGAATATCTTTCCTGTGTCGAAGTGAACCAGAGGGCCTGTGAGGCCCGTCCAACCCAGTCTATGTGTGGACACCCCCGTGCCCCTAGTGCCCGCCGCTTTGTCACTGGGATGCCTTGAGCCCAGGTGATGGGTGCTGCAGGTGTATCTGCACTTCTTGCTCTCTGTATCCCTCTGATGATTCCTTCCCTTGACCGCAGGTCGATGGGACTGCCTCAGGGGGGAAGGAGTTCATACCAACTGCTCCCTCTATTACCACGGAGACCATATCAACCACCATGGTAAGTAGGACCCGGGAGACTTCCCTCTGACCAGCCCTCCCGCCCCCAAAACAGCCAGATAACAAACACTGCCAGCTGCTTGGGGAAGCCCTCATCTGCCCTCCCTGCATCAGGTCTGGTACGCACTGTCAAATTGTCTGGCACTGTGGTTGCCATAGGACATCTGGCCAGATGTCAGTTTTCCAAATTGAATAATGTGGGAAGTGGAATTCCTGGGTGTCAGTTATCCAGGCCATCTCAGCCACGGCAGGGGTAAAGAGAGGATGGTGCTGTTAGATTATTGGCAGGGCCTGAGGACTGTGCCTGAAAGTCCTTCCTCAGGACCCGTCCTGCTCATTTTCTTGAGTCTCTGGCCACTTCCTTGCCTTGGTCAGTAGATGGCGTGCAGTGAACCCAAGTTGGAAGCTCAGGATTTTGGATTGTCTTCAGAGGAACCCTGTGGTTCTGCTACCTATTTGCTGTCTGACCCATGAAGGGGGGTGTCCTTGGCCTCTGGTGTCCTCATCTGTAAAATAGGAATAATCCCCATCCTGCCTGGCTCATAGGTTCTTGAGAGAGTCCAGTAACACCAGATCCTTTAATGATGACACAGGACAAACAGCATTCAGCATGGGTTTTGGTGCCAGGCAGTAATCTCCTTGGTTTTCACAAAAACTGTGAGGTGGATGCTCTTTTTTTTCTTCACTCTTTACAGATGAGGAAACTGCAGTTCAGAGAGGTAAAGTGACTTACCCAAGGTCACACAACCAATAAGTGGTAGAGCCAGGTCAAACCCAGGCATCCTGACTCCAGAAGCCCTACTCTCCACCTTAACCACTCTGCTCTGTTCCCTCATCTGGACCATTGTGAACACTGGCCGCGTGGGGCTGGGGCCGGGGCAGAGGCCGGGCTGGCTGGGGCTGGGGCAGATATCATAGCCTGGGCCAGATCTGTTTTGAGCTCCTGGGAAGTTATTTTCAAATGCCTTTTCTTGCCAAACCCCTGATAAACACAAAGGAAGAGAGTTATGTTAATTTAGACTACCCTGCAGGTAGGTTTTGAGTAAACAAAGATTTTAAGATAAATCTAAACCAGTTACCAGCTCTCACACTTTTCCCTATCACTCAGTCCCTCCTCTCCCCTCAGCCCCTTACCACGTGGCATCGGGATGCTTACAGGGCTAAATTTTAATTCATGCTACATGAGCAGACAGTTACATCATTTCATCCATCCATCCATCCATCCATCCATCCATCCATCCATCCATCCATCCATCCATCCATTTGTTCTGAAAACATTTCTTAGTCTCTGTCTGCCCAGTACGGGGATACAGAGCTGAAGAGAAGATACTTCCTGCTAGAATTCACCCGTCCAGCTAACAGTCATGGGCGCGCTGAGTGTGCTGTGCCGTGTTTAGGTCCGAGGCACACAGTGGTGAACACGGCCCAGCTCTCCCACGTTCTGGCTGGATGACCTTGGGCAAGTTACCTGAGCCTCTTCAAACCTCAGTTTCCGCTTCTGTAAAGCGGGGTGAGGGGTAATAGCACATCCCTCAAAGGGTTGACGTGAGGATGAACTAAATTTAATCTGTGCAGAGCCCTCAGTAGAGAGCTTGGCAATGTAGTAAGTGGTCTGTAATGTGAGCGGCTGTTATTTTCCTGCCTTCTTGGAACAGGGTCGTAATCCTTTCCTAGGGAGCACAGGGAGATGTGTGGGTGACACCATAGGAACCTGGGAAGGCTTTATCTGAGCAGTGACATCTGACATATTCTTGGAGGGTAAATCAAGGTGCAGTCACGGGAGAAGGCATTCCAGGCAGCGGGAACAGCAGGTACAGAGGCAAGGAAGTGAAGGAGCAAAGCATTTGGCCAGTGAAGTGAGATGTCAAGTTTGGGGGAGGCGCTGGGGGAGAAGAGGCTGCAAAGGAAGGCTGGGCCAGGGCTTGAGGGGCCTCGAATGTCACATACAAAGTTCAAACTTCACCCTGGACACAGTAGAGAATCACTTGAATCTTTTAAGTAGGGGCATGATGTCATCAAAAATACGTGTTTCTGCATTTTAGGAAGGTTATTCTAGCAGCCTGTGTGCTACATGACTGGAGCAAAACTTCCCTCAGGGCATGGGTCCTTTTTGTTTTTCTTCCTTTCCTCCCTCCCACCTTCCTCCTTCCCTCCCTCCCTCCTTCCTTCCTTCAGCAAATATTTACTGAACGCCCACACTGTGTGAAGTACTGTGCCAGGCACTGCGACTCCAGCACCGAAGGAGACAGTGTCCCTGAGCCTACGCACCGTTGAGAGAGACCGAAAAGGAAGGCAGAGAACTAGTTCGGGGCTGGTGCAGGGCCAGAGTGTGAGGAGGTGGGTGCCACAGAGAGGGACAGGGCTGAGGGCTACCTGGAGGAGGGAAGTACAGGACTTGGTCACTGGTAGAATGCTTAGGTGACAGAGAAAGGTAGGCTGGTGACACTGCTCACTAGCCCAGCTGTTCTCAAAGCGCTGTCCTGGGAGCCTGTTAGAAAGGCAGCTTCTTGGGCCCTGCCCCAGGCCTACTGATTCAGAAACTCTGGGGGGAGGCCCAGCAGTCTGTGCTGTCACACATCCTCCAGGCGACGCCCCTCAAGTCTGAGAAGCACTGATACAAACCCAGCACTGGGGGGAATGCTCTTTAGTGTCAGGAGCGAGAGGAAGCAGCGGATTCCATTTTGGATCTGATGAGTCCACGGGGCCTGTGGGACATTTCCAAGGGAAAATGTCTAGGACGCAGTTGGTTTTAAAGGTCTAGGGTTTAAGAAAGATGTGGGCTGCAAATAAAGGGATAGGGGACAGTGGCCTCAATGAAGAAACCTTGAGTGGCTGAGGTAGTCCAGAGAGAGGATGGGAGGAGAGCCCTGAGTACATGGGAGGTTGCCCTTGAGGCAGGAGAGAAAGAGGAGAGGCAGGTGGAGCTGGTTGTTTTGGACGACCCTGTGTCCCCCTTAATGGCCTCTGTTTTTGGTGTAAAGGTGGGGGTGGGGCTTTGCCCAGGAAAGAGGAAGCAGTGGCAGAAGAGGCTCCGGGAGGGTGGCCCCAAGTGGCAGCAACGCTCCACGTGGCTAATGACTGTTGCCTAAGCCAGAGGAAAGGAGGCCTGGAACCTGGAAGGCTGTCCTTGTAAGGTCTGCTGCTAATGCCACATTTGAGGATTCTGTCTGACAAAGTTGCTTGTGGATAGAGTGCCAGGTGACCAGGTCACTGACGGCCTTAACTGGAGGCGGGCATGGGGAGCAGGCAGGGCAAAGGCAGATAGAGGGCTTCCGTGCTTACGCATCCCCTGGAAGGCAGAAGTCCAGGTTCAGTTCCGGGCACAGACCAGGACCAGGTCCATCCCTCCGGGCAGCTGCAGAAGGGACACAGATCGGGACCCCTGGACCAACAAGGCCGAGCCCTGAGATGATGCAGAAAGTGGGAGGTAGAGGCAGACAGCCAGGCCCTTTACCAGATGTGAGCCAGTAAATCTGGGGTCAGTTCCTAGAATATCTGGCGGTCAGAATCCCGCGTCAGGAACTCCGAGGGCAGAGAGGCGTTGTGGACGGAGTGTGTTGGACTTGGGGTCTGACAAAGCGGACCTACATCCGGGCTCCATCACTAACTTGCTGGGGGACTTGAACAAGCCTCTTAACCTTCTCTGGCCCTCCAGTGTCTCAGCTGTAAAACAGGATTATTAAAGTGATTAGTTCTGAGGACTAAATGAGATAATGCACCATTAGGATAATATCTTGTACATAGCAAGTACTCAGAAAACAATAGTTTTATGATGGTATTAACAGGCAGCCTCTAGTATACTCATCCTATAGATTTCCAATTGCAAAGCTTAGCCTCATGTCTCTGTGGGAGTACAGCAGGGGTCCCATTTTTAAAAATATTGTTTAAGACTTTATTTTTAGAGCAGCTTTAGGTTCACAGCAAAATTAAGCGACAGGCACAGAGATTTTCCATATGTCCACTGCCCCACTCATGCAGTCTCCCCATTATCAACACCCCCAGCAGAGCAGGACATTTGTTGCCACTGATGAACCTACATTGCTGGGGTCCCTTTTTCCAGGTGCATTCGTGAGGCCCATAGAGGAGAAGTGGCTCTGCCCGGGGTCACGTGGCTGGAACGTGGCAGGGCCAGGACGGGAACCTGAGTGTATAACCCTTTTGCGAGTACTTCCAGAGAGCAGTGCCATGTCTTGTTCACCACAGTGTCCCCCATGCCAGGCACTCCGTAAAAGTTTGCTGAGTGAATCAGCGAGCGTGTGAGTATGTGTGTAAGTGTGTGAATGGGTGAATGAGTGAGTGCCTGATGAGTGAGAGGAGACTGAACTGTGTGATGCTTGTCGCTCTCTGCTTCTAATGTCACAATTCAACCCTGTGGCCATAAGAGCTACATGGCTACGTGTTCCGGCCATCCTGGGGGCCCACCAACCTGAGACCTGGCCATCTGAGCACTATTGTTTCCCCAGGAGAACAGTCTCAAGTCCGGGAAGGGGGCAGCTGCCATGATCCCAGGCCCACAGACGGTGGCCACGGAAATCCGTTCTCTTTCTCCGGTAAGTGGGCAAGGCCAGCTCAGGCTAGGGGACTCCACGCCGAGTATGTGGAGCCGGGTCCACAGGTGGCCCACAGCCAGTGCAGCATAGAGCCCAGAAGGCTGCTCAGGAAACTATCATTTTCAGAGGCCCACAGGGCTCCCTGGTGCCCACCAGTCTCGTCTATTGCCTTCCATTCCTCTCCCCGCACCCAAGCAGGGCATCGGCAGTGTGGGGGTGAAGTGGCTCCTCCCTTTGTGGTGCCCGTGGTGTGATAGCCCTTTGACATCTGCTCTCCTTGGTGGAGAGCAGTGGATTAGGAGTCCAGAGGCTTGGATTCTGGACCGCTGTCAGTGGTTGCCCCACAAGCCTGAATCTGTCCCTGTAGGCTTCTTGCAGCTCCTGTGTTCTCCAAATCTGTCATTATCACCTAGGCCTGGAGAGAACATGTTCCCTGGTCTGACGGGTGGGGGATTGAGAAGGGACTCTGTCTCCACCCTGGATCCCTCTGTTCATTCTTCTGAGACTCCAGGATTCTTAAATCCTAGGGTCTTGTTAGAATTCTGGGCCTTAGGAATCTCAGATTATAGGCTTTGAGAATTTTGAGGGTCTAGCATTCTGAAGATCCTAGTATTCCTGAATTCTTAGGCTCAGTAACATCTGGCTTCCAAACTTCACCTTCATGGGACCCCTCCTATTTCCTCTCAGTTTACCCCACTTGCCCCCACCCTTCAGAGTCCAGCACCCTCACCTGACCCCAGGGTGGGGGTGGTTATATTCTGCAGATCATCGGGAAAGATGTCCTCACCAGCACCTACGGCGCCACCGCGGAAACCCTCTCCACCTCCACCACCACCCATGTCACCAAAGTGAGTAGCCCAGGCTGCCACATGCCTGCCTGGCTGCAGGCCTTGGGAACCCCATTGCCGTGCTCAGCCTCATAACATGGCCAGAGGAGAATCGGGGGTTCCCAGTTTCTGGAATGCTGTGCGCTTTGTTCTGTGTTGTGGTCTGCCCTGGGCATGGACCTGAACACTGACAGCCAGGCTTGGGGGCCGAGGCCATCTCCTTGGAAGCAGTTGTGAACCAGACATAGCATTTGCATCTTACAGACCTTGAGTACCGGAGGGATTTAGAGGGGACAGTATAAGGACAGCTCTTCAGTGAGGCAGGATCTCCTGGGAAAAGTGGGGTTTGCGCAGGATCTTGGAGAGCCCGGTAGGGCTTGTGGGAGAGAAGGCAGTGGCAGGCGCCTTGCAGTGCAGGAGGCAGGAGCAGAAACCGTGTGTGCTTCTTCGTTCACAAGCAAATTTGACCCTGTGCGAGGTGCTGGGGAGGGGCCGTAAGTGATGCATGTTGTGGGAAATGGGATCAGTGGACTCTGGCAGCAAGGAGCAGCATGTAGGGACATAATTGTGGGAAAGCAGGTTGGACTGGGGCCCGGGGAAGCAGAATAGAGACAAGTTCCAGGACAAGTGTGGCGGTGGAGGGCCTGAGTCAGAGAGCCATTGGAAGGCCGTCAACGGTTCTTAACTGGGGAGCGAGCCAGTGAAGAGGGGTTTAAGGAGAGGAGATTGGATGCACCAGGATGTGCAGGTAGATGGGAGAAAGAAGAGAGTGAGTCATGGAGAGACCAGGGATGGAGGGCCTGGACCAGGGTGGGGATCAGAGTTGGGGAAGGAAGAGGGGCCAAGAGGGGGGCATTCCTGGTGTGTCAGGCGTGGCTCAGCCAATGAAGACAGAGGGCTGGGGATAGGCTGGCATGTCCACGCCTTAGTGGCCAGAGGGGAGTCAGGAGGCGTCTTAGGCCAGGGATGGAGGCCTGAAGGAGATGTGCCAGGGAGCCAGGTTGAGTTACAGGTTCTGCTGAGCCATCCAAAAAAGTCTGGTAGGTGGCGCGGGCCCTTTATACACTGTTCCAACCCTGCCCTCTCCTCTCCAGGACTCAGCATCTCTGCACAGTCCTCAGAAAGCACCCACTCTCACCACAAGCATTAGTAAGCAATATTGATTTCACTGAAAGCTTTATGGGAAGGTTTTTCATCACACACCCCACTGAACACAGCTCAGAAAACTCTTTTCCCCAAAAAGTCCCTCCTGGCCCTGCCAGCTGGGAGCCCCTTCATCTTTCTGTCCACTCCTGACTCTAGCCTGGATTTCCCTCAGCCACCACCCTCCTTGAATATGCCAAGCAATTAGATCCTGCCCCATTTCTACTTATAAACTTACACCCAAACCGGCCCCTTCAGAAAACAGCGGTGTTTACCAGTATCATCAACGGAATTTCTCTTGTACTATTGTTTGAAGTCTTTTAAGGTAGAACCTTGTCACCATTCACATTTCATTCATGTGTTCATTCAACTAACCTGCATTTAACACCTGCCCTGGTCAGGCTGGATAGGGGAGGGAGGGGGTAGAGATGAACAAAAGAGCCCTTGTCCCCAAGAGCTCCAGACCAGGTCCCACACAAAAGGTTGGCCAAGGGCAGAGAGGCCCAGAACTGTGAGTGATACAGATTTGGCGTTTGGGGAGTACCAAGGCAGGAAGGCCGAAGGATTGTCCACCAGGGTCAGGGAGAGCATATGACCTGGGCTCTGGAGATCTAGAGGGGACAGTTTGGTCATTGGGGGAGTGGTGGCCACCAGGCAAGATCTGCAGCCTGAAGTCCCAAAACTGGAAGAGAAAAAAATCTGAGGGAGCTTAAGGGATACTTGGGACAGGTCCCGTGTCACAGCTGCTGGTCGCGCAGGACCCAGGGCTGACCTTGCCCCCTCTCCCCCTGCAGACTGTGAAAGGCGGGTTTTCTGAGACCAGGATCGAGAAGCGAATCATCATCACTGGAGACGAAGATGTTGACCAAGACCAGGTACGAGGATAAGGGACGTCACTCCCAGCGCCACTGCCGCTGCCAGTCCCCAGTCCCTGCCACATTGGGCTTCCCACGGATGGTTGCCCTTGTGGACTGAGAAGATGTCCACTTTCTGCCCATCCTGTCCGGTCAAGGGGCCCCCAAGAAAAGGGCACCGAATGGGAGCCAGAAGGAGCCAGAAGACTCAAACCCTAGTCTCTTCCTTTAACCCTCTGACCACCGCCCCTCCCTGGGCCTCCGTTCCCCCAGCTGTGCACTGAGCCGCGTGTGGTCTCCACAGTTGCTCTCGTTATTCATTATTCTGTGGTTCCTCACTTTGCTGTTCTCTTCCTCCAGGCCCTGGCTTTGGCCATCAAGGAGGCCAAACTTCAGCATCCTGACATGCTGGTAACCAAAGCTGTCGTATACAGAGAAACAGACCCATCCCCGGAGGAGAGGGACAGGAAGCCACAGGTAAGATTCAGGAGGCACAGCAGCTGGGACAGGGAGGAGGGAACTGTGGCAAGGCCCCCTGAGGGTCATTTCCATCTGAGAACCCATCCTGTGGCTTGGTCCCTGGCACAGCTTTGACCCCCCTCCCTCCAGACACAATGAATCAGAGTGGGGAAGAGGCCTTGGTTCTTTGGGGTTTTAGGCCCTAGACCCAGAACAGTAAATCGGAAGTGGTAAGAAAAGGGGAGACAGGATTGTCAGTGGGTGCTGAGGTGGGATAGGTGGAGGCAAGCAGACCCTCACTGGCCATTGCCTATGAGCTGGAAGTCAGGAAAATCCTACCAGGCCCAGTGTCACATTCCTGTCCCAGAGTCTCTGTCTCCGTCACAGGTCACTGGATGTTGCTAAGGGAGGGTACAATGGCCAGAGCCCTCGAGCCCGTCTGTCCTGCTAGGTTGCAAACCCGTGACTTCTCAGGCGCCTGGGGCCAGCCAGGCTCTTAGGAGCCCCGGTAACTTTCTGTTTCCTGTGGGCCATCAGTGCCTTGGTGGATAAGAGGAACAGGATGGAGCTGCAGCAGACAGGGCTCTCATCCCCTTGAACTGGGGAGTGGGCTCTTCTGGTCCCTCTGGAAATTTACTGGAATCTCACAGACACTGAGTTGAGTGGAGTCAGTCAGATACAAAAGGTACATATTGTTTGGGTCCATTCATAGGAAGTACAAAAACGGGCAAAGCAAATCAATGATGATAAAAGTCAGAATAGTGGCTACTTCTGGGATGTGATATTTACCGTGCAGAGTCACAAGGGAACCTTCTGGAAAGGGCGGTGTCTTGAACTGGGTGGGCAGAAGTAGATTTACAGCTGTAATACAAAGAAATAATACAATAATGAATAAATAATCCAAGGATAAACTCTGTTTTGCCTACTCACAACTGTAACCCTGCTTTTTCCCATCCCTGTGCCTAACAATTTGTTGAGCTCTACACTTAGATTTCTGCACTTGACCCATTTCACATTATACCACAGTGAAAAACACACACATCCATCTCGTAGACCCTCACCAACAGCAGGTCTCCTTTTGTCCGCTTCCCTGATGAATCAAACCAACGCCTCCTAGAAAGATACAAGAACGTTTCCTTCTCTTGCTTTGATTACCACCAGCTTTGTGTTAGAAGAAAAAGCATGGAAACATTTTCTTGCCACGCTGATAGACAGCCACACCCTGGCCTCGACCGTGCTGTCCAGCAGACCCTTCAGTGTGATGGAAATGGTTCTTCTGTAGGAAGCATGTAGCCACTAGCTACACATGACTGTTGAGCGCTTGAAGTAGACTAATCTGGAATGAGGTGTGCTTTGAGGGTGTAATACATACAGTTCTGCCTCTTATTAGCGGCCTGACTCTGAGCAAGTTATTTAACCTTCTCAGCCATGTTTTCTCATCCGCCAAGTGGTGGTGATAATCGTAGTGGTAACTGCCGTGATTTAGGGAGTGCTCACGCTGTTTGGGTACCAGATTATTCACTCGACGTAAGTAGTGTTATCTGGCCAATCATTTTACAAACGAGGATGCTGAGACTCTGGACCTGCTCACAGTCATGGATCTGAGAGAACATGATGGGTTGATTAGAGAACCAAACCTCATCCGTTGGACTCCAAATCCACCCGATGGTCTTAACCTCCTCACCACGCTGACTTTTCATAGTATCTAACTCATAGGCTTACTGAGGTCATACATATACAGTGTTAGCACAGTACCTGGCACATAGTAAGTGCTCAGTAAAAGTTAATTATGACTGTTAATACTATTAACTCAAAGTAGGCTAACAAAAGGCTGCTCATTTGGACTTTACTGCAATGAACCAAGAAGAATAAATTATAAAAAAGTATTCTTTAGCTGTCCCTGGTACTTCTGAAGTATCTGTGGGCTTTTGAAGACATCCCATGTACCCAGAATTCTGTTGACACTTTATTAGTCGATGAGCAAGCTTAACGTGCAGCCTGTCACTATAAGACAAAAATCCCCAGGAAACAGCAGAATTGAGCAGAAGGAACACACCCAGACTTTGGAGCCAGAAACACCTTGCTAGCATTGTTTACAGATGAACCTTCCTGGGCCTCAGTTTCCCTATCTACACATGGAGTTAATCTCTAAAGTGGAGCTGCTGTAACAATTAAACAACATCTGTGACTATCTTAGTTCTGGCTGCTATAACAATACCATAGACTGAGTGGCTTAAACAGTACACATTTATCTCACAGTTATAGGAGCTGGGAAGTTCCAGATCAAGGAGTCTGCCCATTCAGTCCTTGGTGAGAGCCCACTTCCTGGGGTGCAGACAGCTGTCTTCTCTATGTGTCCTCACGTGGTTAAGAGCAGAGAAAGACAACCTCTCTCACGTCTTCTTACAAGGGCACTAATTTCATCTATAAGGACTCCACCCTTATGGCCTAAGGGCCCACCTCCCAACACCATCTCCTTGAGGATTAGGGCTCCAATGTGTGGATTTGGGGGTGTCCTGCCAGGGCAGTGTCTCAGGCAGGAGTAACCTGGCCATGTGAACCTGCTTCCTTGACCCTTGAGGTTTTGCCATGTTTAGGGATGATGAGAGTCCTGGGTAAGTCAGACCTTAAACTTCCACCACCAGTCAAGTGCACAGGCCCTGTTTCCCTGTGGGTTTCCATCTTGCTGGTCTTCATCTTCTCTCCCTGAATCCTCCAGAGATGTCTTTCTCTGCTCCATTCAACTTAGCCTTCTTTTTGGAAGTTCTTCCTCCTTGGAGTTCTTGCTGCGAGTGTGGAAAGCACATTTATCTCACACAGTCTTTTAGCTGCAACCTCGCAGGCCAGATGTGTGGTTTCTGCTCCATCATCTCCCACTGGCTGGCCTCCTTAGACAGGACCTGTCTCCCAAACCCTGTCAGCCAGATGCCGGCACTTACCCAGCTTCCTAGAGCTTTCTTACCTTCAAAATTTTGATTAAATGTGTGTGGGGGGGATAATTGACCAAAGCAGGTGCCTTGGGTTGTAACCAACTTGCTAAGTCATTGAACTTGGGCCTGGGTTTTTCCATCTTGGGAAATGGGCCGAGAAGGATGACATTTATATGACTTTATTAGCACTTGACCACATGTGGGTGAAAAAGGGCAAGAATGATATGCCACCTGTTAAATAGTTTTGGATAGTTGCTATGTGCAGGGCACAGTGTTGGGTACTGGAAAGACAACGATAAGTTAAGGACAGCCCTTGCCCTCCAGGAGATCAGAATACATGTCATTCATTAACAACAGCAATAGTGGAAACAAGAACAGCCAGTATTTATTTAGCACTCACTATATGCTGGTCCTTGTTGTGAATCCTCCTTATAACTGCACGAGACAGGGCCCCATTTTACAGAGGAAGCAACTGAGGCCTAAAGAGGTTTAAGAGTCAGTAGGCCGTCAAGTGAGATTTGAACTGAGGATTCAGGATTGCAGAGCCCACACCCTTAAACACTATGTTTTGGAGTCAAACCTGAGTAGGGATGCAGGCTCCAGTTTCTTTAGTCAAACACTGTACTCTGGGGTTTAACCCCCAGGGCACAGCAGGCCCATGGAAAATAGAAAGGGAAAACAAACAAAAGGACATCTGTAATCACGACTAGACATTCCTTGGGACTGAGAGGTGACAGGAGGAGACAGTGAACCGAGTGGAATATTAGCTTCTCAGTGTTAAAGGAAACTCGGACAGGTTTTCAGGCCAAAGGAAAAGATACCACTTCCCTGGAAACAAGCAGATACATATGGACTTTGGAGTCAGACAGATGCGGGCTCAGTTCTCAGCTGCCACTTGCAAGCTGTCTGGCTTTAGACAAGTCCCTCTCTTCCTGAGCCATAGTAAAGGACCCACAGTAGAGGCAGGCTGAAAATGACCTCTTGCTATGTGTCTAAAGGTAGGTGACAAAAAGTTACTAACTTTTCTTGTCCTTCTTCTTTTGTGTCCCCCCCTCCCCCGTCCCCCCCAACAACTCTGGCTCCAGGAATCCTGACCTCTGTGAAGAGATGCTGGCGTGTCTGGTCCAACCCAAGCCAGAGAACCGCTAAGAAGGGGCCTTCGTTCTGGATTCTCCAACTCAACACCGCTGTCCCAGCTGCGACGTACTGTCCCTGACGAGAGACTGGGAAAGGAAAAGCATATATATATATAGATATATATAGATATAGATATATATACAGGAAACACTGCATCCTTGCACTGCTTCTGGGGCTGGCCGAGCTGTCGGCCAACAGCAACAACCAACATCTGAACACTTACATTTCCTTTGCAGACAAAGTGAAGAACTGGTGGGATTTTTCAGGAAAAAAAAGTTATAATGCCAATAATCCCTCGCTCTCCCCCTTGGAAGTCCTGCGGAGCAACATGAGCAAGCCAGACCACGACGATGGTAGAAGCGCGGTCCCACTGTGCGCACACGGAGTGGACGGACATCCCCTTTGTTCTCTGGTGTCTGTTGCCCACCCAAGGGCAAAGGAAAACTCTTTTGCAGCAAAGCAAGATAAGCCACAGCAGCAAGACATGCACCGCCAACCGTTTTCCAAGAAAGAAAGGACATCCCCAGTTGGAAAGGAGGAGGAACACTGGATTGTTACTTTATGGTTCTTGACACTGGGCTGCAAAATCCACCTTCCTTTCTTCCGCCTCCCCTCCCCCTCACAAGTCTTGTCATTTTCTGTCTCGGCTCCCTCCTCCCTCTCTCCCAGTCCTGCACCCCTCGCCCTGTGTGTCCGGGTCCTGCTGAGGGCCACTGCAGATGATTCTCATTTGAAATGAGAAAAAGAAGGAAGCAGGAATGGAAAACCACGCCGCAGGAAGGGAAGTAGACATTGTATGTTTATGGTTCTCATTATGAAGGTGCAGCTTGTAGGAGATTTGTATGGATGTGCTTTTAAGTTATGTATATTACATATAACGGGAAACAAATATTAAAATAAACAGTGCTGGTAAGTATGAAGCTGACATTTTAAAAGTATAATTATCTGACTGTGATTGATGTATCCCAAGGTTCCTAGATCTCACTGGACCGGCCCAGCCTAGGAGACCTGGACTCTGGCTGTGGGCTGCTCACAGTAGGAGCTGGTGGTTCAGTGTAGTAATACAGTGTGTGGTGTTTGTCATTGGTTGATTGGTGGGAGGGGAGGGGTCCCCAAATGGAGAGGCAGGGGTTTTTCAAGAAGGAAGCAACACAGATGTGGTCCAAGATGCCTTCTCCCCTGGGCAGTAGCAACCAGGGCCTGGTCTGTGCTCAGGTGTGGGGTCCAGAGGTAGGATTTTGCTGCAGATCCCCTGGCTCAATCCCCCTACCTCCCTAAGGGGGCTTGCCTCCGTTTTCAGTCCTGTATTTTTTTTGCCATGTCTTGCCTTTCCCTGACTGAATCCTGAGAGCTGACTCCCCATCCCAAGGGAGGCGATGCCCCTGGCCACTGGAGAGGATGGTGGTTTAACCTGGCTGGCTGAAGATTCCCACTCAGCCTTTTCCTCTTATCACTCCTGTATTCTGTCTGAAGCATTCTCTTCTTCCTGGGCCAGAGCAGCCATGGTAGAGACCCTGAGCACAAGGTAGGCCCTGACAGGTCAAAGGTGCATTCCCGAAGGCTCTGCCTGCCCAGGACACACTGAGGAGGAGAGCTGGTGCTGCTCAGTCTCCATCTGTGTGTAAGACCCTGGTTTTGGAGACCTCCCCTTTGGTCAGCATCTGAGCTCTTAGCCTGAGTCCTCAGAGTCCCAGAAATTGCCTTGAGACTGCAGAAGCCCTTGGAGAAATCCCATCCAAAGCCTAACATTGACCTCTGGCACAAAGGGGCTTTCCCAGGCTTTCCTGCCACAAGCACGCCCCTGAGCTCAGTGAGTCCCCTCTGAGGGAGTGTGTCCCCACGGCACTTTAATTTCTCAGTCCCATCTCACCTCCCTGCTCTGTTTCTAAAGCAGTCCATAAATTCACTCAACAAAAACATTGAGTACCTACCATGCCCGGCACTATTCTTGGACTGAAAGAGAGGATGTGGGGGGTATGGAGGCCCCTGGGAATCCCCCTGAGCCAGCCTTACCCTTCAACCATGGCTGGCCCCTCTGAGAGCATTTCCACATTCTCTCCAGGGATGCCCTCCAGAGGGCCCAGGCTTGCTTACCAGTCACCCCAAGGATACAAATATGCTTAGCTGGTGCTGACCTGAGGCAGAACAAAAAACCAGAATAGTGTGCCTCTGTAGACAAAAATGGGATGGAGGGAGGGCAGAGAGCCCTGAGCAGGGGGATCAGATGGCAGAGTCAGCCACACCCCAGCTGGCTGGTGGTCTGCTCCAGGCCCGAGTGTGACAGCACAGCCTCCACTCTCCACTCACCAGGTTCTTTTTACATTCCTGGTAAAGGAGCCGCAGAACCTCCCATTCTCCCTTCTCAGCCTGAGAGCTCCCACTCCTTCTGGGCCAAAAGCTGGAGAGGCTTCCCCCTGTCTGAGCCACCCAGAATTTGGCTCAGGCACCCCACCTTTGCCGGAACCAGGCATCCTGAACACACTTCAGAGGGAGGGTATTTTTTCTGGGTTCTACACCTGCCTGCAGACCCTGGGTGCGTGGCTTCAGTGCAGGGATGAAATGGCCGGGCCTCGCTCGTGGCCCATCGGGGTTTGTGGAGATTTCTGCCCCTCGGATGCTCTGACCTTCCTTCCACGGAGTTGGGCAGCGCCACCGGGGAGAGGGGGAGCTGCAGAGCTAAATCTAGGGCACTGTTTCCTCCCCATCCCCCTCTTTGCAGAATATAGACGTTTGTCTTGTCTGTCTTCAACCTACTTTTCTTTTTTTTATATTTGTCATCCTTTCTGTGCTGCCTCTCCACCCAAGAGACCATGCAGCGTAGTGGAAAAAGCTCCAGAGGGCAGTCAGGAGGACCGTGTGGCCATGGGCTCAGCGCCTAGCTCACCACGTGGCTCCGTGACACTGAGCCAGCCCCGTGCCCGCGTTGGGGCCTCAGTTTCCACACTTGTAAAATGACTTGGGTAAACCAGATGCTCTCCAGGGTCTTTTTTCCGCTCTGCCCTCCAGATTTTCTTTTCTTTTTTAATTTTTTTCTCTCTCTCTCGGGATCTTTTCCATCTGAGGGTACAGGAAGTGCCAGGACCTGTTTCAGTGTTTGAATCCTGCAAGCACATTCCAAGACTGGTCTGAAATTGCATGAGCAACATCACTCTAATTTTTTTTTTTCCCAAAAGCACCTTACCAACCAACTGCAATGCTGTCCTGTTCCTTTTAACTCACACCCCTCTCCTCTCTGGTCCCCATGCTCCCCCACCTCAGTGCTCCGTGCTGTATGCGTGTGCTCTCTGTTCTTGTATACTCAATAAAAGTGAAATAAATGTGTTTGATGCTGAACCACGAGCTGCCTTGGTGCATCTCTCCCCTCCCCCTCTTCCCC